ACATTAGTCCTGGCATAGACTATTAGCTGTGACACCTCAGGCAAATCACCTGAACAACCAGTGGTTGGCAAGCTCATAAGTCAGTAGAGCCAAATATCAACAGTACAATGATTGAAATTTCTTTTGAGAGCCAAAATTTTTAAACTTAAACTTCTTCTAATGACACTTCTACAAAATAGACTCACCCAGGCTGTGGTATTTTGTGGAAGAGCCACACTCAAGGGACCAAAGAGCTGCATGTGGCTTGAGAGCCGCAGTTTGCCGACCACAGCTCTAGGCAATAGATTCCCCCCCCCCCTTTTTTTTTTTTACTGTGTTCATTGGGGTGACACTGGTTAATAAAATTATATAAATTATTAAGTGTACAGCTCTATAATACATCATCTGTACATTATATTGTCTGTTCACAAGTCAAGTCTCCTTCCATCACCATTTATCCTCCCTCTATCTTTTCTCCCCCTCCTTCCCTCTACTAGTCACCATACTTTTGTCTGTATCTGAGCAGTTTTTTTCCTTAATCTCTTCACCCAGCCCCGAAAAACCCTTCCTGGAATAGACTCATTTGTCAGAACACGAGAACGGACTTGGTATTTAAAGTCTCATTGAATCCCCAGCAGTTGCTCTTTCGTGTGGGTTCCTGTCAGGGAAGGGGACCTTGGCAGGTCAGTTTTGAAAGTTCATGAGGCAGACTGTACTATTCTTTCCAGACTCTGATCATATGCCCGTTTCATGTGCCAGCTCTTGGAATGGGCAGACTTCCCCTTTTTTCATCTGCTGCTCTCACATTAGCCTGCCATGCTTTTCATGAAACATCTGTTGGCTCTTTGGGGGTTCTGTCCAATGCAGCCTTGTTATTTCCCTTTGCTTTCTTCTCTTTAGATACATTTACTCCTATGCAGATTTTGTGACTGTTTGTGGCTTGCCCTTAAACTTTACTTATTTATTTATTGATTGATTTTAAGAGAGAGGGAGTGAGAGAGAAAACATTGATTTGTTGTTTCACTTATTTAAACATTCGTTGGTTGCTCCTTGTAGGTACTCTGACTGGGAATCAAACCTGCAATCTTGGCATATCTGGATGATGCTCTAATTAACTAAGATATTAGTAAAGGGCCTGCCTTTACTCATTGGTATTTTGTGGTTCTTTTTGTTGTAAATACTGCACATGATCATCTAGTTTCTTTATCTAGTTACCTTAAATAGGATTTATATAAGCTCCTCATTTAAATTAATAAGGAAATTAGCCTATAGAAAAACAAAGAGACATATAAACACCTACAGGCAGGGCTGATGTGAGAACTCATTTTTTTTATTTTACCTATTACTCAACTTCTTTTTTATATCTTCTTTTTGACCCTACAAGAGCATTCTCAAGCTTCTTATTCATATGTCTTCTATTGTCATATAATAACTTATCACAAACTTAGTGGCTGAAAACAGCACCCATTTCTTATCTCTCAGTTTCTGTCAGGAGTTAGGGCACAGCTTAGGTGGGCTTTCTGTCCATTTTACTGGTTATACTCAAGGCACCAGCTGGGCTGTGCTCTCATCTGAAGGCTTGACTGAAAAGAATCTGCTTCCGCCCTAGTTGGTTTGGCTCAGTGGATAGAGCATCAGCCTGTGGACTGAAGGGTGCCAGATTCAATTCCATTCAAGGGCACATGCCAGGGTTGCGGGCTTAATCTCCAGTGTGGAGGTAGCTGATCAATGAGTCTCTTACCATTGATATTTCTAACTTTCCCTCTTCTTTCTCTCTGAAATCAATAAAAATATATTTTTTAAAAATAATCTGCTTCCCAGTTCATTCGAGTTGTTGATAGGATTTCATTTCTCTTGGCTTCTGTATGACAGGGATCTGACTTTTCACTGCCATGTGGCCCTCTCCAGTTCACAGCACGGCAGTTTGCTTCTTGAAGGCCAGGAGGAGATTGTCTGTAACTTCATTCTGCTAAGACAGCATCTTATAAAAAACAGTGTGTGATCACAGAAGTGGTATTCCGTCATCTTTGCCATCTTCTGCTGGTTTGAAACAAGTCAAAGGTTCTGCCCACAGAAGTGGGGAATTTATATAAGAGAGAAAAACCAAGGGGCAGTGGTGGGGACCTATTACATCACCTGTATCATGATCTGGAAATTGATGAAACGTGCTCCTGAGCTATAGAAAACACTTTCCAGAGGACCGCTCAGATTTGTAGATGTTAGAAAAATTTGGTAAACTCTTCCCACTTTTCTTTGCCCAAGATAAAAACAAAACAACAACAGACATTACTAAGGTCCTAACAATATAAATTATTTGCCTGTGAGATAGAGGTTCAGTTTCTGCCTGTTGTGACATACAAACACGTGTGTTTTTAATCTTTTCACAAAAACGTTTTATGTACCTACTTTTGAGCCTTGGGCATTCATTGTAAGTTCTAACTTTTGAACTTCTATTCTGAAGGGAGTTTCTCTGGAGTGACCTCTGGAGGCATGTGGTAAGGTAAAAAGACGGATTTGAATCAAAAGAGTTTCTGTACTTGAAGTAAAGGTAATAATCCATAGGTAAAATAACTCATGGTTCAATTGTATGTATCAGCTGTGGCCTTGTACAAAGACCTTGAGTTTTTGAGTTAGATGGTTATGAGTTGAAATCTTAGTTCTATACTAATTCTGTAACTTTTGGCAAGTTACTTCTGATTTCTGAGTCTTAGTTTTCTCTATTGAAAATGGGAACATCTTTACATCTTTGTATCCCTACAGTGCTGTAAGGATCAGAGTTCTATATAAAAAAAACCAATTACAGTGCTTGGCACTGTAGTAGGTGCTCAATAAATGAATGGCAGGGGTATTTGTTTAGCTGCCATATTCCCCTACTTAGTCTGTTGGGTACTTGGAGAACTACAATTTCTCTCCCCACAACCAGATCTTGGTAAAAATTACGTCCTCTTGATCTTGGGTTAGACTTCTGCTGTCAGTGACATGAACCACTGTGTTAAAGGTCCCTTGGTGTCTATCTGTAGGAACCATTATTTTTCAGGACCATGGTTGAATCTACATCCCAGTTTGCCTGAATTTCTTTTCTTTCAATGATCTCTCAGGGTTGTGAGAGCAGGGTCAGAACAATTTAGCTTTTTTTTTTTTTTTTTTTTTTTTTTTGTCTTCTAGATCTCCCTATACACCTACAATTTTTCTAAACAATTCTTTTATTACATCTTTCTCTCACCTCCAGTATTACACCCTTCCTTTGTCAGGGATCATTGTATTTTCTTTCTCAGAGGTTCTGTGTTCAGTAATTGAAGTTGATAGTTACTGAGCACTGTATGTGTGCTATCTGTACTTAAATTTCAAATGTACGAATGAGGTTGATATAGTAATCTGCTGCTGATGGCTGAGGAAACAGGCTCACAGAGCTTAAGTGACTTGCCCACTGCCACACACTGGTATTTGTAAAATACTTATTGGAATCCTATCTCAGATCTCTAAGTCCAAAGCCCATTGTCTCTCTGAGGACATTGGACTTCTGCTGGGGAGATACTTGTGGGATCTTGATATTTGTGCCAATGTGGACTTAATTGTAGTTATCTCTCTGTTTAAAATGTTTCCAGAGACCCCTTCATACCATAGTTAAGTAATTTAAGTGGTTGGCTCTGTATAATTTGGAGTATATCCCACAGAAGAGGGCTGTAGTGAGAAGGCCAGTGTAAGTGACGAATGCTCTCTCTTTCTTCTTCAATCCATTAGGAGAGGGGTGGGAAACCTTTTTTCTGCCAAAGGCCATTTGGATATTTATAACATCATTCTTGGGCCATACAAAATTATCAGCTTAAAAATTAGCCTGCTCTATCTGGTCAAACATTTAATTACCCCTAATGCCTTGGCAGAGCCAGACCAAAGGATTTTGGGGGCCTTGGACAGCCCGTGGGCCGTACGTTCCCCACCCCTGCCTTAGGAGAAGGCCTTTGAAAATTACCATGAGACCTTTTATTTGGGAATACTTTGGTCTTTAATTGTAACATTGCATTAAAAATATTTCATTTATTCAAAAACCTTTGGGAACCCCAAAATAACCCTGGACTTCATTTTCTTTCAGACTGATTTTTATGCCCTACAGATAGATAGGCCACTACCCATTTTTTTCCAGTTCAAGAAGAATTTGTCACTATTTCTTAACAGTAATTTTTAAAATTTTATTTGAAAATGAAAATAATCTAATAGCATTGCCTTGTTCTTACAAAAAGGAACCTCTTTGCCCAGTTGGAATGGCTCAGCAGTTGAGTGTAGACTTATGAACCAGGAGATCATGGTTTGATTCCCAGGGAGGGAACATGCCTGAGTTGTGTGCTGATCTCCATTGTGGGACGTGTATGAGGCAGCCTAACAATCATTGATGTTTCTTTCTCTTTCTCTCTCTCTCGTCCTCTCTGAAATCAATAAAAATATAATAAAAAAAGAAGGAACATTTTGTCATTTTTGTTTCTATTATTATTATTATTATTATTATTATTATTTTGTTTTTAATCCTCACCTAAGGATATTTTTTCCATTGATTTTTAGAGAGAGTGAAAGAGAGGGGAGAGACAAAGAGAAAGAGAAACATCGATGTGAGAGAGACGCATAGATTGGTTGCCTCCTGCAACTGGGCTGTGGATTGAGCCTGCAACCCAGGTACATGCCCTTAACCAGGAATCAAATCCGGGACCCTTCAGTCCACTGGCTGACGTTTAACCACCGAGCAAAAACATCTAGGTCTGCTTCTAATTTTTTAAAAAAAGAGATAAAACATCATGGCTTTAAAAAATATAAGTATTTGTATGTTTGATAAATAATAATTTAAAAATACAAAGAAGTCAAAGAACAAAAGAAAAATCACCCATAGTCTCAGATTCACATATATAACCACTGTTGTACTGTTTATTGTTTTAACAGACTTTAGTCCATCTGACCTGTAAGTCACAGACATCTTGGACACTTTTAATCATCCATAGCAGGAAGGTATTTCGCGAAAGAGTTGGAAGACAACCATGAGTTTAAACACTTCAAGTAATGCTTCTGTTGATACCCAAAGGTAAGCCTCCAGTCTTTTTCTTTAGTTGTAAGGCACAGGGAGAAGTCAGTTGGAGGGACTGACTGTAAGAATTCTCATGAAATGGTAAGGGGAGCAGGAATTTCATGGGTCTGGAGGAGCAAGAAGGATGTCCCTGGAGACCTTGTGTTGCAATTTGTGCTCCTTTGTTAATCGGTCCACAAAAGTCAAAGTGTCTGCACTTTCTTTTGTCCCTACATATTTGCTTATTCTCTCTCACCTTTTCTTTTCCTCATATTTATGCTTATTCACATTTGTGTGTGGTGATTATTTTGGCTGAGTGCAATCTCTCTGGTTCTAATCCTTCGCTTTCCTCAATGCCGTAACTCTTTTGTAGTTCACGACTTTTGTAGCTATCTTTTAGTTTTAGCTCCTGTTGCTAACTGCTTCTTTTTAAAAATATATTTTTTATTGACTTTAGAGAGGAAGGGAAAGGGAAAAAGAGATAAAAACATCAATGATGAGCCAAAACCGGTTTGGCTCAGTGGTAGAGCGTCGGTCTGCGGACTGAAAGGTCCCAGGTTCAATTCCGGGCTGGGGCATGTATGTAGGGTGGGGGCACATCCCCGGTAGGGGGTGTGCAAGAGGCAGCTGGTCGATGTTTCTCTCTCATGACGTTTCTAGCTCTCTATCTTTCTCCCTTCCTCTCTGTAAAAAATCAATAAAAATATATTTTAAAAAAAAATCAGTGATGAGAGAGAATCATTCATTGGCTGCCTCCTGTTTGCCATACACTTGGGGATCGAGCCCACAACATGGGCATATGCCCAAGGAATCGAACTGTGACCTCCTGGTTCATAGGTCAGTGCTCAACCACTGAGCCATGCTGGCCAGGCACTAACTGCTTCTTTACTTGGAATTTACATTGTAAGAATTGCTACTGCTCATCCTTTTTGTGCCATTGATATCTGCCTTTGGGTAACGTGCCTACCTTTGGCTTATTCACCTCTAATATGAATAATATAAAAACCTGATTCTATTATATGAAAATGAGCCATCTTGTAGAGTGCAACCCAAAGTGTGGTTACAAATAAGTAAGTATAGAAATTGAAATTGAAAGTAAGTGTTCAGAAACTTTTATAACTGTGTAACAGAGTAATCTTCTGTTTGTTGAATCTATACTAATAAAAGGGCAATATGCAAATTGGTCAGGATGCCCTCACAGTAATGACCAAACGACTGAATATCAGGCTACATGGGGTGGCCAGGCCAGCTGGGGTGAGGGTGGGTAGGGGCAGTGAGGAGCAACCAGGCCAGCGGGGGCAGTTGGCAGTGACCAGGCTGACAGAGGTGGGTAGTGATGGGTGACCAGGTCTGCAGGGAAGGGCAATTGGGGTTGACCAGGCTGGCAGGGTGGGCAATTAGGGGCAATCAGACCAGCAGGCATAGGCAGTTAGGGGTGATCAGGCTGGCGGGGGTGGGGGTGGGGGACAGTTAGGGGCAATCAGGCAGATAGGTAGGCAGGTGAACAGTTAGGAGCCAGCGGTCCTGGATTGTGAGAGGGATGTCTGATTGCTGGTTTAGTTGTACATCCTCCGAGGGGTCCCGGATTGGAGAGGGTGCAGGCTGGGCTGAGGGGACCCTCTCTTACCCCTTTGCATGAACATCATACACTGGGCCTCTAATCTAAGAATAAAACACTTGGGATTATAGTTTATGTTTTGAAAATTTCTTTTTTAATTATTCATTTAAAATATATTTTAAAAGTCATCATGAGGTGGGTGGTGGGAATAATTTGAATAAGTCCCTGCTTTTATTTAGTTTGAGAAGAGCTTATCTAGACCATCTTTCAGCAAGGATGTGTGGGTGGGGCAAGTACTATGACTAATATGTACTTTACCTATAAATAGAGTTTGCTATGTAAACATTTCCTACCTATCTTTGAAAGGTAATTTAAATCCTTTCTGAAGCAGGGTTGGGAATAAATGAATAGAATATAAACATTTTACTTTGCTAAAATTTCATCTCAAAGAGGACTTTCTCTTTTATCAAATGTGGCAAGGGTCAAGAGTGAGGTCTCATCAGCTTGCTCTCCACCACCACAAGTGAGGAATATGGTTCAAAAACTGTTAAATAGAGGATCCTCAAGATTCCTTCTTGCTTTGATATTCTATTTTTTTAATCCATCACTCAGACCATCTGAATTTATTAGTTCTAATAAAAGCTTAATTTCACAAATGTAAAACACACATATAATTGAGTCATTGCATTTTAAATAGTAACTGTGAACAGTAGGAGGTGGCTAAACAAAAACCCTCACACATTGCTGGTGGAAATATAGAATGATGATTGGAAGCTCACTGTGTGAGGCTTTGTGTTTGTGGCATTCTCTGTTTTGCTAGAAAACTTTTAGCATTAGCATTTTTAGGTCTTTTCACTATGCTGGTTAGACTATTCAGGGAGGACCATTCCAATTTCTTCTTGGTTGCTATTGTTCAGGCAGACAAAAAGTATTAGAAGACCAGGGTTCTCATCTGTTATATACATTTTTACTTGAGTCTCTTGATTTTAGTATGGATCCCTTAGCCCTGTGATTGGCAAACTGAGGCTCACGAGCCACAGGAGGCTCTTTGACCCTTAAGTGTGGCTCTTCCACAAAATACTATGGCCTGGGTGAGTCTATTTTGAAGAAGTGGCATTAGAAGAAGTTTAAGTTTAAAAAATGTGTCTCTCAAAAAGAAATTTTAATTGTTATACTATTGATATTTGGTTCTGTTGACTAATGAGTTTGCTGACCACTAAGGTTTAGCCCATTTGTTTCTGATGTCTCCAATCCAGAGACCTTCTGTTTTATCCTGTCCAGAGAATAAATCCCTAGTATGCTACCAGAGTGGGGAAGAGATTGGTATTTAGTTGTATGGTGTGTATAAGGTAGAGGACTAGATCTCATTATTAATTTGGTAGACTTCGAACCAGTTCTGTTTTCACCTTCATTTTCAAAGGTGTTGCCAATGAACCAAGCTTGTTGGGACTCTGTTGTAAATCAGGTTTTCCCCACTGTTGACTTTGAATTTAACTCTCATACGTGAACCCATAACTAGGGCATGTGCCTTGACCAAGAATCGAACCAGCAGCCTTTTGGTGCAGGGGACAACACCTAACCAACCAACCTCCACAGGCCAGGGCCCTTTGCTGTTATTTTAATTAAAATTCTAATTTTAATTTTGGGGAGAGAGTGCTTTAGCATGTCCTTTTAATGTAGGGATCTATATTCTCTTATTTATACTTTTTCTTTTTGTAGCATCTATTACATATATAATAAATAAAATATTTTAAAGAGGTAAAAAGGAAAAAACTTAGTCTCTTGCAAAGCTGCCCAGCTTGTGATAGGATCAACCAATCTTGAAAACGTGGTTATTTTCCAGTGGATAGTGGTTTGTTTCTTCTTGTATACTATTTTGCATTTCTACCTATTAATCAATATCTTTTACTAGATTGTAAGTTGTTTTGGGTGGCAGGACCATATCATGTTCTCAGTGTTTTTTTTTTTGTTTGTTTTTTCTTTTTTTCCCTCCAAATAGTTATTAGAAATACCAGAAGTGCTGGAAATATACTTATGGAGAAATGTATTTTATTATAATCTCATTTTATAGGTTGAAGAATGTCTCACCTGATATAAAACAAATGTTTAACAGTGAAGCAGAATTGGATATTACAACTGATTTCAGAAAGAAACTCCATCGGGCTAAGAGAGAAAAATTGGAAATAACAACTAAGCACAATGCAGAGGTAGAATTTAATTTCTTTTCCAATAATGTTAAAAATAGATTAGTTGAGTTTCATTTTGCCCTGGCCCAGTGGCTCAGTTGGTTGGAACCTCATCCCTTACACCAAAAGGTGGAAGGTTTGATTCCCGGGTCCGATGGGTACAGGAGGCAACTTATTGGTTTTCCTCACATTGATGTTTCTCTCTCGCTCGCTCGCTCTTTTCCTCTCAAGTTTATAAGTAAAATATCCACAAGTGAGAAATTAAAAAATTAAATTCATTTTATATTACAAACTCTAAGTATAACACTTATCACCATAACATTTTTGTACTTAAAAAGGAACTTATAAAGAAAATGGATTTTTTTTAATATAGTGGAATTGCATAGAAGTGTTAAAGTAGAAATTTAACTGGTTATTATGTTTATTCTTATGTTGTCTTAAATTTATTTTAATTAAGAGGTTACCTTTTTAAAAAAATATATATTTTATTGATTTTTTACAGATAGGAAGGGAGAGGGATAGAGAATTAGAAACATCCATGAGAGAGAAACATCGATCAGCTGCCTCTTGCACACCCCCTACTGAGGATGTGCCCTCAACCAAGGTGCATACCCTTGACTGAAATTGGACCTTTCAGTCTGCAGGCCAACGCTCTATCCACTGAGCCAAACCAGTTTCGGCATTAATAGGTAATCTTGATTAAAATATTAATGAGTGCATTGGTGACTAAAAGATTTGTAAATTAGACATTTTTGAAACCTTAATGTAGGTTTCTTTGGTCTCAATCACGCAACAATCTTAAACAAGAAAATTTGGGTATAAAACTTTTAATCTCTGTAATTTATAAATGTTAAATTTTTTATTTACTCTACCTTTCATTTTATTAGTATCTGTGTATGTATTTATGTATTTTATATGTATATTAGAGGCCCAATGCTTGGATTCATGCACTGGTGGGGTTTCTCAGCCTGGCCTGCAGGGATAGGCTGAAACCGGCTCTCTAACATCCCCCGAGGAGTCCCAGATTGTGAGAGGGCTCAGGCCAGGCAGAGGGACCCCACCAGTTCATGATCCAGTCCAGGAAGGAACTGTGAGAGGGCTCCAGGGCGTGTCTGGCCTGTCTCATCCAGTCCCTAGGCCAGACTCCAGCAGCAGAAAGCTAACCTACAGGTGGGAGTGTCTGCCCCCTGGTGGTCAGTGCACATCATAGCAACTGGTTGAATGGTTGAACTAATGGTTGGACTCTTTGCATATTAGGTTTTTATTATATAGGATGTATATATTATAATTTTTCCTGTAAATTAAATTATGAATTATATATTTATGTCGCTTCTGTCTTTTTCTGTTTGCTACTTTTTCTCTTTTTAAATCTTACTCATTCTTAAAGCTCAGCTTAGGTAGCCTATATAGTGGAAAGAATATTGACTTTCACAGATTTGGTTTCATTCTTGGCCCTTCTATTTATAAGATATGTGACCTTGGGCGAGTTGTACATCACTGGTTTCTTATTCTGAAATGTTGGTCCCAAAGGGTTATTGTAGTAATTAAGCAGATTTATAAAGTGCCTGTGCACTGTAATAGTAGCTATAATTTATTGACACTTAAGTATAAACAGTGTGTATTTCTTTCCTTTTTACTAAATTCTGATGCTGTTCTGTCAGGAAACCTTTTAAAGACTCCCTAGGTGACACTGATCACTCCTTTCTTTGCTTTTCCAAATGCTGCTGTTACAGATATTTTAGAGTTAAAACATTTATTTCATGCTCTTCCTTACTTAGTGTGTAAGCTTCCTGAGAGCTGAAAGCAGTGACCAGGCTTTGTCTCTGACTCTCACATGGCTTAGGCCCTCAGCAGCTGTGTGCTGAATAAATGTTTGAAAAATGGTGTTTTCCTGGGTCTCTAAGGAACAGTGAGAGGTTTCTGATTAAAATAACAAGCAACACATATATGATTGTTTTATTTGCATTTTTAATGGCAAATGAGATAATTTTTAAATGAGGTAATTGAAGTAATTGCTTTTATTTACTTATAATATTACATAGTGAATATAAAGTGGCATTTGTTAAATTTATGTTAATTGTTCATAATCTCCAAAACTTATATTTTAAAACCAAATGTATATTAGTGTCATGATAATAATATAACTTATTTATATTAAATATATTCTTTTATGTATTTTTGTAGTTATCATCAGTTTTCTCTTAGCAGAACAACTATTTATTGTCTTTAATCAAATGTTTTGAAACGTGTTCATATTAAAGAGATGGGAAATTATTTTAGGGAAGAAAGAATTTTCTCAAAATAAGCAGTTAGAATTGGTTCAATGCCAATTTCATATTACTATTTATTCTTATTGTTTCAATTATTTGTTCAGATGATTTTACTCATGGAGTAATTTTTTTTGCTGTCTAATCTTCAAATATGCCTTTTATAAAGCAAGGCAGAGATGAATAAAACTAGCCATACAAAATAAGGACATATATAGGGTGTCCCAAAAAATGTATACACACACTTAGAATGATTATAAAGTCAGTGTTTATAACAGTACATTTCAGCCCTAACTGGTTTGGCTCGGTGGATAGAGCATTGGCCTGCAGACTGAGGAGTCCCAGGTTCAGTTTCAGTCAAGGGCATGTACCTTGGTTGCTGGCACATCCCCAGTGGGGGCTGTGCAGGAGGCAGCTGAACGATGTTTCTCTCTCATTGATGTTTTTAGGTTTCTGACCCTCTCCCTTCTTCTCTGTAGAAAATCAATAGAGTATATTTAAAAAAACACACAAAAAAACAACAACAGTACATTTCATTTTCAAAATTGAACTATCAGCTTTTAAGTGTGTATACATTTTTTGGGGACATTCTGTATTTGTGTTATCAAATATTTCTAGTGCTAATATACATTATGGTAGATTATTAGCACAAAATGTCTTTAATTTTATTATTTTTTAAAATTTAATTTACTGAGGTAACATATACACTAATAAAAGAGAAACATGCAAATTAACTGTCACTCTGCTATGTCCACACCTGCCAACCAATCAGGATTGAGTATGAAAATTAACCCTACCAAGATGGCAGCTGGCCACGGAGCTGGCGCAAGCAGGAGGCTTAGTTTGCTCTGGCAATGGAGGACAGCTTCCCACTGTCCCTGGCTGGCCCTGGCCTCTGCTCAAGGCTACAAAGTTTCAATTATAGAAGATAAATAAATCCTAGATACTTGCCTCTAGCCTGCCCTTGCCTCCGGGCAAGGAGGAGCTGAAAAAGTAAAAAGAAAAAGAAAAAGGAGGGGCTGGGACCTTGGTTAGCCAGGGGGGTGATCAGGCCAGGATGGTACGGCAGGGGCCATTGGGGATAAGCAGACCAGCAGGGGGCCAGTTGGGGGTGAGTAGGCTGTCAGTGGGGGTTAGTTGGAGGTTATCAGGACAGCGGGTATAGGGGGGCAGTTTGGAGTGAGCAGACCAGCAGGGGAGCAATTGGGAATGAGCAGGCCAGTGGGGAGGGAAGGTGGAGGCAAACAAGCCATCAAGGGGGCCAGTTGGAAGTGAGCAGGCTGACATGGGAAGCAGTTGGGAGTGATCAGGCTGGTGGTGGGGAGCATTTGGGGCGAGCAGGCTGGGAGCAGGGGGCATTAGGGGGCGAGAAGATCAGCAGGCAAAGTGATTAGGGGCAATCAGGCAGGCAGGCAGGCAGGCAGGTGAGCGGCTAGAGCCAGTAGTCCTGGATTGTGAGAGGAATGTCTGACTGCCATTTTAGGCCCAATCCCGGTAAACCAGCAGAAGGACATACTTCAAGGGGTCCCAGATTGGAGAGGGTGCAGGCTGGGCTGAGGAACACCCCCCTCCACATGCACAAATTTTGTGCACTGGGCCACTAGTTGCTTAATAAAAGCATACAGGTTTCAAGCATACAGTTCAATAACATATCGTCTGCATACTGCATCGTGTGCTCACCACCCAAAGTCAAGTTTCTTTCTGTCCCATCTCTCCCCACTTAATCCTCTTCTATCTGCCCCAAACCCATTTTCCTCTGGCAAACACCATATGTGCTATTTATTTGTTTACTTAATCCCTTCATCTTTTTCACCCAATCCCCCAATTCTCCTTACTTTTACAGCTGTCTGTTCTATGTATCTATGATTCTATTTCTCTTATTTTGTTAGATTAGCAAAAAATATCTTTAAAATCTAAATGTTCATTGGTGGATGAATGGATAAAGAAAATATGGTATATACATACAATGGAATATTATTCAGCTATTAAAAAATAATAAAATTTTGCCATTGCAACAACATGAATGGACCTTGAAGACATTATGCTAAGTGAAATATGTCAGTTAATGATACACAAATATGTGTGGAATCTAAAAAGCAAATAACCCAAACAATCGAAGGTCATAGAAATATAGGCAGGTGTGGAGGTTGGGTGAAATGGTCAAGGGTATCAAATTATACAAACTTCTAGATATAAATAAGTCATGGGATGTAATTTACGGCATGGTAACTACAATTAATACTATATTGCAAATCTGAAAGTTGCTAAGAGAATAGATCTTAAAAATTGGGACAGATGGGAGAGGATAAAGAAGAGCAATATAACTTTATTATTAAAAAATATATTTTCTTGATTTTTTACAGTGAGGTAAGGAGAAGGGTAGAGAGTTAGAAACATCGATGAGAGAGAAACACCGATTAGCTGCCTCCTGCATACCCGCCACTGGGGATATGCCTGCAACCAAAGTACATACCCTTGACCAGAATCGAACCTGGAACCCTTCAGTCTGCAGGTAGACACTCTATTCACTGAGCCAAACCAGTCAGGGCCAGTATAACTTTCTTTAGCCAAGAGATACTGGAAACCTAAGACCAAGCAGTTAGGAACTGAAGATATTGTTTGGCTGATTCAGCCAGTCTTAAGAACTGAGGTTCTTAAGCTAAGGTCCCTTGGAAACAGAGAAATCAAGAAATATAATTTTACCAGAATCCAGAAGTTGGGGCCGTCTTATGGGAAGTAGAGCCATGGTAGGGGTTGTTCGGTCAGTGTTGGAATGTGGAGAGAAAGTATGGGAGCTGGAACCTCAAAAGAGATGCAGGTACTGACAGCCATTTGGCACGGGAGCCTGGGAATTACAGGTCCTATGATAAAATACTAGAATAGAGCAAAAGAAGGGGTTAGGTGATGGATCTCAGATCAAATGTGCAAATGATTGGCAGTCTATACCTTACGCTCTTCAGCGTTCATTATCTAGTGGTTAATTGCTACCACTTGGCCTTTGCCAGTCTGGAAGTCCATCATTGCAATTGAAATTGGGGTGTTCATCTCAATGGTGGCATATCCCACATTATCTCCACCATCCATTATTATCTTTGGCACATACAGGTTAGCCACCAGAGCTTTCTAATGACGCTTGTGCTGCCTCCTCCAGTGCAGTTTATAGCATTTTAATTAGGAAAAGAATGCCTTTGGGTCCTTCAAGAGGACGTAATAGGGGAAAGGGGAAGTTTTGGTTTCCTCATCATAAAACTACGCTCATCTCCTTACGTCTCCATATTAGATCAGGAAAGTACTGGCATTTTGACCTCATTAAATGATTGTAGGCCATTGTTAAAATCAATTTACAGTCATCTATCCAAGAAAAACTGTTAGAGCTAGCTAGTTAAATCCAAATCAATCCTATGTATGTTCTGCAGGTTCCCGCTAGTAAAAGATTATCAAGATCTTGCAGTTCTTTTGCTGTATAAGCTATTTTCTTCTGGACCTGACTTTGCATTTCTCCTCTTGCAGCAGAGTTCTGAGTCTGTCTATGCCAACATGCACTTCAGGTGTGCTCATTACTAAATCTTCAAGCAAAGGAAGGCTAGTTACCTGAGAGAGAGAAGAGGCTGCTTTTGTTGGCAAGGGATGTTCGGGGGTGGGGTGGGGGGCATTTGGGAGTTCACATTTATCAGGTGTATCTAATTCCAAAGCCCTCACCCATCTCCTTCCTTCTTACCTAATGCCCAATTGATCCTTAGTATCTTTAATTTTTAATTTTTTCCCTTTTTATTGAATTCATTAGCGTCACACTGGTTAACAAAATTACTATACAGGCTCCAGGTACACAACTCTATAGCACACCATCTCTACATAGCAAGTCAAGTCTGCATCCATCAACATTCATTCTCCCTATATCATCGTCCACTTCCTTCCAGACATTGTATTTTATCATCTGTAAATATTTTCATACATATCTCTAAAAAGATAATGACTCACAAAAACTCTAACTATAATACTATATCACAACCAAAGAATATTAACAATAGTTCATTCCTTCATATAATAAAATTCAACATTCAAATCACCCTGATTATCTCTCAAATATGCTCTTCTGTTCATTTGAATCAACATCCAAATAAGGTCCACACTCACTTATCTGTATCTTTGTGTGTGTGTGTGTGTGTGTGTGTGTTTTCAGCCCTAGCCACTTAAAAAAAATCTTTATTAGTTTTTTAAATTAAATCTTTATTCAGATTATTGCAGTTGTTCCTCTTTTTCCCCCTCATAGCTCACCTCCACCTGGTTCCCACCCCACCCCATGCCCTTACGCCCCACCCCACTGACATCATCCATAGGTGAACGATTTTTGTTCAGTCTCTTCCCGCATCCCTCATACCCCTTTCCCCCTGAGGACTGTCAATCCACTCCATTTCTATGCCCCTGATTCTATTTTATTTACCAGATTATTCTGTTCCTCAGATTTTTTATTCACTTGATTTTTAGACTCACTTATTGATAGATATGTATTAGTTGTTCATAATTTTTATCTTTACCTATTTTCTTCTTCTTCCTCTTCTTAAAAAATAAATTAATTTTTAAAATTTTAAACCTGATTTAAAATGAGGGAGAGAGAGAAACATCAGTGATGAGAGAGAATCATTGATCAGCTGTCTTTCCCACACAGGGGATTGAGCCTTTAACCTGGGCATGAGCCCTGACCAGGAATTGAACCGTGACCTCCTGGATCATAGGTGGACGCTAAACCACTGAGCCATACTGGCTGGGCGATACTTAGCATCTTAACATTAGAAACTTGGGGAGGCTCTTTATTTAACTTGTAATTCTGCATTTCTCATAATTAGATTTTTTTCCTTTGGTCTAGTCCTTAGCCTTGTCTGTCCTGGGGTTATGATAAATAAGAGAATCTTTTACAGTTGACATAGAAATTCTCTGGTTTTCTGACCATCTTGAGCTGAGGTTATCATTTTGTTTTTATAAATTCTCTGATATAGCCTTTTTCCCTCAAGGTCTTATAGTGAACTATCCTGCCATAATGGTCAAATGCAGCTGCTACTTTATTTCCCATTTTCTTCTAAACAATTCGCCTTTAACTTTATTCTAAACAACTGTACATGATAATTAAAAAAATTGTGATTTCGCTATATGTCATAGATCCCCAGTATCCCATTTCCAGGTAGAGCTCTTCATTGTATTTAGGTTCAGATAGGTTCACCATCCCATATCAGAAACCCATCTTGAGGCCATTTCTGATATCAAGAGCTATGTTACTTGGTGTCCAGTCAAGAAAATAGACATTACTTTAGGTCTCTCAACAAAAGGAAATTAATTAGTAAAGGCAATCGAACACCTAGGTATAAGAATTGCTGCAAGACAAATGGGATATTATCAATTCAGGATAATAACATGTGAAGTTTCTTGCACTCCTCAGAGTGATATTGACTTTGTAATTAAGGTTGTTGTATGATTTTTTTTTTTTACTATTGAGAAATATTTGTAAATTCTTCTAAGTATAGTGTTATGAAGGCATTGCTATTCTAAAGATTTGGATGGGAAATTATTTTAGTTTTTATATGTGGGCAAAATGTAACTGTTGTTATACTCTTCATGTTAATAGTGCCTTACATGATTTCTCTTATTGTCCTGCAGAGATTCTTGTGTCTTTTATTTGATAGTAACTCAAAGCTTTCTTAAATAATACTTTTCTAGCATCCTTCTGATCTACCATTTTTTCTTTCTCACCAGCAACACATCATTTTGCTTTTCTTTGAAATATCATACAATTTTTACCTATTTTATAAAAGTTTTGCCATATGCCTTTGTATAGTATTGAATTTCTAGTTTTTATATCTTTCACTGTACTTAGCACATAGCAAGTGTTTAATATTATTTAGCGAGTCTATTGATTTGACAATAGAATTTTAGTACGTGAAAGGACTTTACAAATTACCTAGTTCTAATTTTCAGACCTATGTTCTGTCACATTAATTCATGGAAGGATATTAGGTAAATTAAATCTAGTCATTAGATATCGAGCTTTCTAGATATTAGATAAATTAGATATTAGCTCATCCAGACCCCTGCAAAGTTGGCATTTTATTACTTTAGGCTCTATCAGTAAAGTCATAATCAAGAGAAATAATATAGACTGTATTTACCAAACTATATTTTGATGCAGTTTGCTTCTTGATTTCATTTAGAGACTAGGAGGAGAAGAGAAGGGAATGAATTTTTAAGTGCTTACTATGTGTCATGCATTTTTCCACTTCTTAGATATAACTATTATCTGAGTAAAACTTGTGATTTTCCTTTATTTTTATAAGAATTTAATATAAGAAATAAAAATGTTTTCCTCTGTTGGATTCCCTAAAATAAGAAAATTACTAGTGTCATTTGGTAAGGCTAGTGTTTCTTTTCCAGTTTTTCAGAAAGTATAAATTCTTGTCTTATAAATATTATAGAAACAAGTTTTTCTAAGATATGTAAATGTTTGGGTTAATGATCTCATAATCTTGGAAATATATTATAATATTGGTTCATGATACCAGAAATTTGCTTTTAGCTGGCAAGCCTCGAGAGCCAAATTGCCAAGCTACGCTCTGAAGTTGAAAAAGGAGAAGCATTGCGACAAAGTTTGGAATATGATCTGGCTGTTGCTAGAAAGGAAGCTGGTCTGGGAAGACGGGCTGCTGAAGAAAGGTTAGCTGAGGCACATAAGATCCAAGAAAAACTCTGTGGTAAGACAATTTCCATTTCTTCCCATGTTAAGAATTGTGACCTCATTGAATAGCATTGCTTGGTGTTTATGCATTCCATTTAGTGTTAATAGTGAGGTTTTGATTCATTGACTGGCCTTTGATTTTGGTGGGTGTGTAGAAAGTTTTCTGGCAGTTATGTGAACATTTATCTACTTTACATTAAATTTTTTATGTTGTGTATGTGTGGAAAAAGGGGCTCAACATTTTGTTAAACCACTAAAAAATTTCTTTAAAAAAATAGTTTTTTTGATTTTAGAGAGGCAGAGAGAGAGAGAAACATCAATGATGAGAGAGAATCATTGGTTGGCTGCCTCATGCACGCACGCACCGCCCCCCACCCCCATGACGACTGAGCCCAAAACTTGGGCATGTGCCCTGATTGGAAATTAAACCATGACCTCCTGGTTCATAGGTTGACATTCAACTGAGCCCCTTTAGGGCACTTTTCATTTTTCTAATCCTCACCTAAGGATAAGTTTATTGATTTTAGAAAGAGCAAGAGAGAGAGAAAAACACTGATGTGAGAGAGAAATCAATCATTTGCCTCCTGTACACACCCTGACCAGGATCGAACCAAGGTATGTGCCCTGACTTGGAATCAAACCTGCAACCTCTTTGGTGATGGGATGATGTTCCAACCAACTGAGCCACCTGGTTGGGGCCACATAGAGATTAAAAAATATAATCCCATAATCATCCAGACATGACAAGAAAGGAAGTTTTGGAAGCTGGAAAGCAAATGGATGAGGGATAACTGACTTGGCAGACTGAGTTGTTAGAATCCTAAACTAGGAATGGGGAAAGCTGGCAGACAACTTGTTTGAGAGTCAAAAGTCTTATGAACTGCCTGGCTGGTGTGGTTCAGTGGTTGGACGTTGACTTATGAACCAGGAGGTCACGGCTTGATTTCCAGACAGGCACATGCCTGGGTTGTGGACTCGATCCTCAGTGGGGGATGTAGCACTAGCATGCTACTCTGGATTGTTACCACTCAGGAGTCTTAATCTCTGGAAATGATAAAATAGAGGGTCTCAAGACTGGGATAAACAGGAAGATAACTTATTCAATGTTGAATATTGAGGAACTATTTCTCCCAGCTTCCTTTTTCTATTGGCTTCACCACATTTCCGCATTCCATGTGGGAGTTTGGAAGACTGTTCTGTTGGTCACCTGACCAAGTAAAAAACCAATGATACTCATCTATGGCCTAGCCAGATTCTCTTCCAGTGAAGATCACAGGTGTAAAGCTCCACACTGTGTTACCCTGTAGTTACTCCTAACTGAGAGCAAACAACCAAGAATTACCAGATACTTAGGGAAAGCCTCTACTAGTAGAATGGAGAGAAAAAATTAACTTGAAAGAATCGGAAACTTTTCAGGGAGAAGATTTAACAAACAAGTAGCATTAATATCCTTGGAGCTAAAAGAGATTATATGCCACATGTGAGGCAAGAACCAGATCCCATAGAAAAGAAAGCTCTTAGAAATTAAAAATCTGAAATAAGAAATTATAAATGTCAATAGAAACATTGGAAGATGAAGATGGAAGAAAACTTCCAGAGAGCCCTGGCATTGTGACTTAGTTGGCTATGCATTCTTCATGTGTTGAAAGGTCGCTGGTTCAAGGCACATGCCCAGATTGTGGGTTCAATCTTCAGTTGGGATGTGTGTGGGAGGCAACCAATTGATGTGCTTCTCTCTCTCTCTCTCTCTCTCTCTCTCTCTCTCTCTCTCTCTCTCTCTCTCTTCCTCTCCCTTCTTATCTCCCTAAAATCAATAAAAACACATTTTAAAAAACCTCCCAGAAATTAGTGTGAAAAGACAGATGTGGAAAAATAGTAGAGAAAAGAAAATTTGAGGGCCAATCTGAATAATAGGGAATATTGAAAGAAAGAGATGAGAGAAAAGAGAGGGATAAATTATCAATGAAATTATTTAAGAACATATCTCAGAACTAAAGGTTATGTCTGAGTTTCTGGATCGAAAGGGCCCATTGGATATTCACCACACTGGAAAGAAATAGACCTACTATAAAATTTTGAAAAAATAGACAAAGTGAAGATCCCAAAACATTCAAAGAGCAAAGGAATGAAAAGAAAAGGAAAGAAAAAATGGGCCACATGCAGAGGGACAGAAATCAAAATGGCCTCAGACTTCTTACCTGCAATATGGGCAGCTAGACCATGGAATAATATTTTGTAGTGAGAAAAACTGGATGGGAGAGAGGCTTTTTGCACTATTTGTACCTTTGAATTTTGAACCTTTGAGATATATGATCCATTCAAAATACAAATGTAATTGAAAAACAGTGCTATGAACTGTGACATTTTTGTTTAACAAGTGTGTTTGTATATATTTTTTCATTTGCTCTTCATAAAAATTTAATTAGGAGGCATTTTATTCTGAGAGTCAGAGTGGTTTAATCAGGTGGTAGGTGATGGAGTCAGACCTGGAAGTCTTTATTTCTTTTCTAGATACTGACACCCTCGTGGAAAAGTATTGGTTATTGTAAAGGTAATATTAGGCTGAGAGGGGATTGAGCCTAATTTTGGGGGAGTAAATACTATGGTTCTAAGAGTTGTAGCAGTGGTTTCCAATCTCAATCTTGAGACAGTCTCTTGTGTGAGATGTGTTACAATAGTCAGATGTCAAAATTTGTAATCTATCAAGTCTTTTAAAAAGAGTAACCCTAGTCTGGCTGGTGTGGTGCAACGGTTGAGCATTGACCTCTGAACCCAGTTTGATTCCCAGTCAGGGCACGTGCTCAGGTTTCGGGCTTGATCCCCCATCACCTACCACCTGATTAAACCACTCTGACTCTCAGAATAAAATGCCTCCTAATTAAATTTTTATGAAGAGCAAATGAAAAAATATATACAAACACACTTGTTAAACAAAAAAAAATGCCACAGTTCATAGCACTGTTTTTCAATTACATTTGTATTTTGAACGGATCATATATCTCAAAGGTTCAAAATTCAAAGGTACAAATAGTACAAAAAGCCTCCCTCTCATCAGTTTTTCTCACTACAAAATATTATTCCCATAGGGGGTGTGCAGGGGCAGTTGATCAGTGATTCTTATCATTGATGTTTCCATCCTTCTCTCTCTCTCTCACGATGAAATCAATAAACACATTAAAAAAAAAAAAGAATAGCCTTATTTATCACAGTGCTTTTTACAAAAACATTTTACTTATTTTCTTGAGTAGGAGAAAAAGAGTGGCAGTTGGTGCTAGAGGAGCACGTACACTTGGGCATGTCTCTGGGAATATGTCATCTTCTTTCATGGCAATACCACCTTTGTGTGGCGGGGAGGAAGAGACAGAAAAATGGTAGAATCCCAGTTCTGGGACTGTTAGCTTTTCAAGAGTTTACTGGTGGGCAGTGGCCTCAGGCTTTGTCCTAAGATTGTGCTGTACATGAAATCAGCACTAAGGCCTAGGTTTTGAACTCTAGGGATTTAATTGCAGTTGTAAACATACCTATTATTCTTTTATATTTTTAATAGCTCAGAATACAGAACTTCAAGGAAGGGCAAAAGAGATTGAGAATGCATTTCAGATTTCCCAGCAGAAATGGAACGAAGAATGCAGAAGATTTGAACATGATTTGGAAGAAAGAGACAATATAATTCAAAATTGCAATCAAGAATATGATTTACTTTTGAAAGAAAAGAGCATACTAGAGAAAACACTGCAGGTAAAATATTTTTATAAAGGAATTTCGCTGTATATAATATTCACTGAGATGCATTACACATTATTTGATGTTGTCCTTGGAAAGGAAGATAACACCAGAAGGCTAGGAAAGCTGTTTTCCTAATTTCCACCCCCTTCTTCTTTCCCTTTACGGTCATTTTTGCAGGTCTCTTTTGAATTATGCTTTAGGATACATTAATATGTATACTGTTTCTTTTGTGAAAAACAGTTTGAAATCTGTGATCAAAATTTAAAAAATAAGCACATATAGGCATTTCATAAGAATATAAGAACTTGGTTCAATAGCATGAAAAAATTTTTAAAAAAATATATTTTATTGATTTTTTTACAGAGAGGAGGAGAGAGGGATAGAGAGCTAGAAATGTCAATGAGAGAGAAACATCGACCAGCTGCCTCTTGCACACCCCCTACCGGGGCTGTGCCCGCAACCAGTGTATATGTCCTTGACCGGAATCAAACCCGGGACCTTTCAGTCCACAGAGGGACCTTTCAGTCTGCAGACTGACGCTCTACCACTGAGCCAAACAGGTTTCGGCATGAAAATTTTTAATATAGAAATGTAGGTTCTAGATTTGGTCTGAATATACAATAAATATAGAAAGTATGTGTCTGGTATATGCTTTATTATCTATACAAAGCTCATTCTATATGGATATGATGTATAAACAATTTGATAACCTTTTACTAAAATTACTGTGAGGTATTTATTCTCTCCCATTCTCCCCTGCTTTTTCTTCCTTTGTACTCTCCAAAGTAAAAGTATAGTTTAAGGTTGAGGTTGCTAGCCACTTAGAAGTAGATTTTGAATTATCTATATTTGCCATATTTTTGAGGTACCAGTTTAAAAACAACAACAACAACAACAACAACAACAACAAATGAACATGATAAAAGTGCTCTAGATTTAACACTGGTGTAAATGGCTTTTCAGAATCCTGGCAATAAATCTTCACTAGAGATAATTTTTCAAAACCATTTACAAAGTTTTGACACAAGCATTCCCAGCCATTTTCAGCAGATATGTTTATTGTTTTCTTCTACAGCAATAGTCATGGCTTGTGTCTTGTTTGTTACTAGGATTGTGCCTGGCATCTATATGGCTCCATTACTATTCTAATAGGGAAAATTTAGGTGGCGACTGGTGCTACAAGTTCCTGAGTAACCCTATATAACTTTCCCCACTTAAACGTCTTTGAACTATGGGGAAAGAAGGTAATGGGTGGCAGCATTCCTTACAGTTAGTCATTCTGCACCTCAAATTAGATTAAAAAAATTATGTTCTTAATGGTTTCAGAGAAGATGGGAGAGGGGGAGAGAGATAGAAACATCAATAATGTGAGAGAATCATTGATTGGTTGCTGAGTACTGGGGATCGAGCCCGCAACCCTGGCATGTGCCCTTGACTAGAATCAAACCAAGAACCCTTCAGTCTGCTAGCAGACACTCTATTCACTGAGCCAAACCAGCTATGGAAGTTTACTTGATTTTGAACAGCTGCTAGGTAGGAGAACTCTGCTTTGATTTCAGGCCATTGGCTTTGAATTGATTGGCACAGAGACCCTTGGGAAATTAGGGATTGAGTAGGAGTTACTACTTAGCCCTAGGGCGAAAAGGCTTCCAGGCTCTTGTGATAGCTTTCCATACTGAAAAACCTATGAGTAATCTTTAGTACACAGCTCTATGCTGTTAGGTAGACACAGGAAGCTTTCCTTCTCTCTCAAAAACCACAGAATCGTTCTCCTTGTGTGAATGGGGACCAAGTTTTGAACCTTATAGGTTAGAATATTTGGTTTGTCAAAAAACCTGCATTTTATATATTTAAGATTTTGAACTAACTTAGATCTAGCAAACATAGTATGACTAGAAAAACCCAAAAAGAAAAGCCAACATTGTTTATCTATGGAAATAGAAATTAATGACAGTCCAAACTTCTTAAAAATTATTTTTTTGACTTTTCAAATTCTTGACACTCTAGAGTTTCCTTATCCTGACTCCTTCTCCCCTTTTGGAAATACAGTGTTTTCTATGACATTTATATATACACTAGAAGCCCGGTGCATGAAATTCGTGCATGGTGTAGGAGTGTCCCTCAGCCTAGCCTGCACCTTCTCCAATCTGGAATCCCTCTCACAACCCAGGATTGCTGGCTCCCAACCGCTTACCTGCCTGCCTTTCTGATTGCCCCTAACCACTTCTGCCTGCCAGCCTGATCACCCCCTAACCACTCCCCTGCCAGCTTGATCACCCCCTAACCACTCCCCTGCCAGCCTGATTGATGTCTAAATGCCCCACTGCCAGCCTGTTTGCCCCCAACTTCCCTCCTCTACCTGACTGGTCACCTCTATCTGCCCTCCCCTGCAGGGTTGATCACCTCCAACTGCCCTCCCTTGCAGGACTGGTCCCTCCCAACTGCCCTCTCCTGCTGGCTATCTTGTGGTGACCATATTGTGTCCACATGAGGGCAGGATCTTTGACCAAATGGGGGCAGCTATCTTGATCTTGTGTGTTGGAGTGATGGTCAGTCTGCATATTACTCTTTTATTAAATAGGATTATTAGGGATAATCTAAACAGTTTATTCATAGGTAATCAGATATTTTTATATTATGTACTTTACATATAGATTACATAACATTTATGTATTTTGTATTTGTCTCTTTATCATATAATGCATTTTATTAAAATATCTGAAGTTAAAAATTTCAGAAAAATTGGCTTAAATATATGCCTATGTGTGTATATATAACATGTTCCTTATATTAAATAGGTAAGCATTTCTTCTTATTCAGATCTATATTCTGGTGATCAAAATATAACAGTTCTATTAGCATAATTTGTAAGTTTTGATAAGATAGGTAAGGAGAGTTCTTTGTACATTAAAATTGGGGATGAAGGGAGAAAACTAACTTTTATTGATCTGATAGTAAAGCAAGATTTTATTCATATAAAGGAAGCATTGGAGAAACATCTGCAGGAGAAGAATGAAATGGACTCTCAAATCAGGGAGACAGCCTTGGAGGAGTTTAGATTACAAGCAGAACAATGGGAAGCAGAGAGAAGAGAGTTACAATTTATAGTCCAGGTACTTTAAAATAATAACACAATTCCTTAAGTATGACTTTTTAATGCTGATGATATTTAAATTACATTAGTGTAATCATTGATTGGCTTGCTCAAAGGGAAAATAATTCCTAATCTTTGATCTCTGGAAGATGTTTTGTTTGTAATTGCATGACAATATGGGCAACTTTTACCAAGAGGGACATCTCAAAATCATATAATTTGTTTTATTAATCTTCACCTGAGGATATGTTTTCATTGATTTTAGAGAGAGAAGATGGGAGATAGAGAAAAACATCACTGTGAGAAACATCGATCCGTTGCCTCTCATCAATGCCCTTACTGGGGATCAAACCTGAAACCGAGGTATGTGACCTGACCTGATGGGGTTTGAACCCATGAGCTTTTGTGTATGGGTTGATTCTCCAAGTGACTGAGTCACCAGGTCAGGGCTACATTTAGTATTTTATCTTTCCAATTTATTATAACATAATTATGTGAGACTGTTAGCAGTCTTTAATAGCCTAAAGAAATAGAATAGTGACTATTCATTATACAGTACACCTCAGACTAATACAAAATAATATTGATTGTAACTATAATTGAAAAATAAAATTAAAATGTTAATATTTTTTAAAATAAAAGAAATAGAATAGATTTTATATTTTAAATGATGTATGCAAATCTTACACTATAGTAATTTTGCCCTTCCCTGCAGTCCTGGTTCCCCCCAACTGTCCTCTTCTGCTGGGCTGGTTCCCCCCCAAACTGCCCTCCAATGCAGGCCTTAGTCTTTCCCAACTGCCCTCCATTGCTGGCCTGGTCTCCCACAACTGCCATCCCCTGCAGGCCATCTTGTGGCTGCCATCTTGTGTCCACATGGAGGCAGTCATCTTTGACCACATGGGGGTGGCCATGTTGTGTCTTGAAGTGACAGTCAATTTACATATTACTCTTTTATTAGATAGGATATTAGACCCAGTTTATAGTTTACAGCAGCAAACATTTTTTTTTTTTTTTGGTTAATTCTCATCCAAGGATATTTTCTCCATTGATTTTAGAGAAAGTGGAAGGGAGGTGAAGGGAGAGAAGAGAAAAGAGAAATGAAACATCAATGTGAGAGATGCACATAGATTGGTTGCCTCCTGCACACGCCTGGACTAGGACTGGGGATTTAACCTGTAACCCAGGTACGTGCACTTGACCAGGAATCGAACTTGTGACCTGTTGGTGCACAGACCAACACTCTAACCATCTTGCCACACTGGCCAAAGCAGCAAACACTTTTTGATTGTAAAACTATACTGGCTTTGGGGATTTAGAGAGAAGCTTGTCTTGACTCTTTTAGGAGATAACCATGTACTAGATTGTAAATAGGTGTATTGATATATTTCCTAAGCTAGGAAGAAGTACTTTTGTTTGATACATTTCTAACTCTGCTTCTATAATTCTTCAGAACTGAAACCACATTTTGGAGTCTGAGAGATATTGTTTATATGAAAACATATGAAAAATCATACTTTTGGGCTATGTTCCTGGAAGATGTAGAAAGAAAGCAAGTTTATTTTCTAACAGCACAATGTGGTTTTCTGTAATGCTAAATGTCAGTTCTAACACAGGCCTCATTTTAAAATATTTTAAGTTCAACACCTCCCTCTAGTGGAAAAAAGAAAAACTCCATTACTCCCAGTGTTCTTAATTCATTTTATTCTTTATATACACATACACTTCACTGTAAAGATCCAAGTAGCTTTTGTTTGGATTAGAAAATATTCTTTGACAAAATTGGAAAAATTTTCTTGGAAGGAGGCAAATTAATTTTGTATGAGATGTTTTATGGATCTTTTTAATTTTCTTGTATGTTATACTGTATCCCAGACTTGGGTTGTATTGATAAAACCATAAAATTAAAACAAGTATTTGAACATATAAAAAAATAACAGGGATTAATATAACCAATATCCAATATAACAAACCAATTCCATTAATATAGCTAATATGTACTTTCTAGATAATGTATTTGTCGTATTTGCTTCAGAATAAAAAACAAACAATAAATTGTTAGATCATTGGAGACTATTCTGAATCATTTCACCCTCCCACCACAACCCTACCCCCAAAAGATGAACATTATTTTGAAGTTGGTGTTCAATTTTCTGTTTGTGTACGTTGATCGTGTATCATATTATGTTGTCATTTTCTTTGTTTACAGAATATCATACTGTACACCTTATCTTTTCCATTTGTTTTATTGATATTTACTCAAGTTAACAAAGTAACTCTGGTTCATTCAGTTTAACTTAAGTATGGTATTTTATCCTTTGCATATACCATACTTGATTTATCCATTACTTGATTGATCGAGACAAATTTTTTCTAAGTTTGAATTATTGCAGATAGTTCTCTTGTGAACACCAGGTATTTTTGTTTATATGTGTATGTACTTAATGATTATGCAATTTAATACATGCCACATTGTTCTCCAAAATGGTTATACCAATGTGAAAGAAACTTTATTTTCTCTGACAGTCTCTTGCACACTTGGTATTTTTCAGATTTAATTTTTTTCGTCAGTATTATATATATATGAAATTATATCTCATTCCTGTATAATTTTCCACTTCCTGACATTGAACATGGTATGTTTATTGGATATTTATGTTTCTTTTGTGAACTGCCATTTTATATTTTTTCTTTTGGATTGTTTATATATTTTTATTAGTTTATAGGAACTTTTTATATGTTTGGTTACCAGTTCTTGGTTATTAATATCACTATTGCAGACATCTTTTTTCTCTTTGTGGAGACAATTTACATTGTGTTTGACGTACAGTTTAAACATTTTTAAAAAAATATATATTTTATTGATTTTTTACAGAGAGGAAGGGAGACAGATAGAGAGCTAGAAATGCTGATGAGAGAGAAACATCGACCAGCTGCCTCTTGCACACCCCTCACTGGGGATGTGCCCGCAATCAATGTACATGCCCTTGACCGGAATCGAACCTGGGACCTTTCAGTCCACAGACCGACACCCTACCACTGAGCCAAACCAGCTTTGGCTACAGTTTAAAATTTTAATGTAGATGAATTTATCAGTCTTCATTCATAGTGCTTTTTATGACCTATGTAACCTAAAATTATAAAGAGAATATATATTTTTTTCTCTAATATTATTCTTTGCCAAGTGGATAGCCAAATGCCCCCGTGCCAGTTATTCAGCTGTCTATTCTGTTACCACTGAATGATTTATAATATTGTCTATTTCACATTCAAGTTTCTTTATATCTAAGGCTTGTTTCCTGGGCGCTCTGTTCTGTTCCACTTTTATATCTATTTATGAATCAATAATAAATGTTTTATTTATCATGGATTTACAGTAATTCTTGAACTCTACTAGGTCAATTTCCCCTCTCTTTATTTTTAATTTTTTTGGGGAAAGAGTAGAGTTATTCTTAGCCTTCAATATTCTTTGTGAGTTTGAGGATTAGCTTCTTGTATGCCACCAAAAAATCTTGTAATTTTGGTTGAAATTGGGTTATATTGCTAGTTCTATTTGGCAAAGAGTTGATGTTCTCAGTGCATTTTACTTCTATTATCCATTCTTTTATATTTTTGCTCTATTTTCTGGAGGTATTTCCTCAATTTTATATTGCAGCCTTTGTATTGCATTTTTATTTCTGCTTTTGGGTTTTTAATTTCTAAGAGTTTATTCTTATTCTTTGACTATATATTTTTATAGTAGACTCTTTTTGTTTCATGTTTGTAATATCTTAACTTTCTATGAATATAAGTCATACTTATATTGAAGGTGTTTTTTTCCTGTCTCTCTTGATTATTTTTTTTTCTGGTCATCATTTTTATTTTTGGTGTTAACAGTTCAGGCACATAGTGAAGGTTATTAAAACAACAGAAGTCCATAATATCCTGATAATGTAAATTTAATCTCCAGATATGGTTTTCACATAAAAAAATTTGACAGACTTGAGACCCTTAAGTAAAATATGAAAATAATATCAAGCCACTTTTTTTGAAATTGCTTTTAGAAAAGTTATATCTTTGCTTTGTTTTATTAATTTAATTAATGCAATAAATTAATTTACTCATTAAAACCCAAAGTTTTAGAAATATTACATTGTTCTCATTTCCCCCCAAATTTTATTATTGTAAATTATGAGAAGTATCAAAATTGTATCTAGTTAGTACACTCTTTTTCCAGGATCGAGAGGGACATTTGTCAGGGTGATTTTTGAGTTTATTTGGAAAAAGAGTTTGAGATATTAAAGTAGAAGAGTGCCTGTTATTATTTTTCTTTCAGTAGTATAAGAGAGATTTGAGAAGTTGAATATGTGAGAGAAAATGAAACACAGCCATCTAGTGGATGCAACTTTTAAGAGCTGGAAGCTATAAGCATAAAATACCATGAGCTCTCATCAAAATCTCTCCTGGGTTATTCTGAGGCATCCAGGCCACGCATTCCTTATCACCCAAGGAGCAACGTCCACTTGTATTACTAAATACTTAAAAATTTTAATGAAAGGGAAAAACATTATACTAATATATGACAGTTGAACTACAGAATTCTGTAAAGATTCTCAGAAGCTATTTGAAGTAGCATAGCATTTTAGTAAGCTATCCACGTTTCAGTTGTAGTATGTATTAATCAGATTTGAAAAATTGTAAACCTCCAATAATACTTTTACAATACATGTATATCCTGAAACATTGCTAGAAAATACTTGGCCTCCCTGGCCTATGCAAATTAACCTATTGTCCCAGTGGAAGCACAGACTTAGTTACTTACTGTCTACCACAGAATACACGTTAGTCAATGTTGGCTTATACATTCTGTTGATGCAAAAATGAATGTTTTCCAGGAGCAAGATAGTGCTGTACAAAGTATGCACAAGAAAGTAGAAAAATTAGAAACCGAACACATGGATTGCTCTGACCTTTTACGGCGACAAACAAGTGAACTTGAACTTAGCACCCAACGAGAGGAACGTCTTCGAAAAGAATTTGAGGTATACTTTCTTATTCTTTTATAACATACGAGGGCCCAGTATACAAATTCTTGCACCTTGAAAGGAACTGTGGGCTGCTAGGCTGCGATGGGCACAGGGGTGGGTCTTGGCCCATCCTTTGCACCCCCACTAGACCCCTCCCATTGCAGCCCCTGGTCTCCTCTCTGCCAGCAGCCCCAGTCCCACTGCTGCTGCCGCCGCTTTCATGCACTGACAGCTCCGGCCCTGCTTGCACCCGCTGATGGCGAGGAGCGATTGGGGCCAGCGCCAGCAGCAGGTGTGAAAAGCCAGCAGCAGGTGCAAGTGGCGGCTGCTGCCCAGATTGCCCTTCAGTAGCCGGGGAAGATGGAGAAGCCCTCAACTGTGATCAGGGCTGTCAGCCACCACTCGTACCTGCTGACATCACCAAGCAATCAGGACTGGTGCCAGGCACAGGCAGTGGGTGCGAATGGCTGGCTGCTCCAGCACTGGCTGTGGGTGTGAAGAAGGCTGGCGGCTGCAGGGGTGTGAGTGGCAGCTCCATCATTAGCAGTGGGTGTGAGAGGTGGTATTGGTATTGGCATTGGCATTGGTGGCTGCTGCCCAGATCACCCCTCAGGAGCAGGGGTAGGTGGAGAAGCCTGGAGGGGTGATGGAAGCCAGCAGCTGCTACATGCACTCGCTGATGACACAGAGCAATCAGGGCGGGCACTGGCAGGTGCGAGCAGGGCCAGCGTTGGCAGCAGGTGCCAGTGCCAGGCAGGACCACGGCATGCAGGAGCAAAGAATTTTAAGTAACCACCAGAGGCTTGCTTTGATGACAGTGACCAGCACCCTGCCTTGGTCTGGCGCCCCTGCTCACCTGCTCCACCATCCCGCCGCAGCCAATGCCTGCCATGGTCTGCACATGCCCCTGGTGGTCAGCGCACATCATAACAACTGGTTGTTCTGCTGTTTGGTCTATTTGCATATTAGCCTTTTATTATATAGGCTATATGTTTTCCAGTCAGTAATTTCAGGTGAGAGAAAGTTTTATTGTGCAATAAAATATGAAGCTGCCTTTTAAGTATTTATTTATATTGAGTATTTGGTTTTCCTGAAAACTTTGAATCTTAGTAAATTATATTTTGTTCCTAATTTTTAACATTAATTCTCATTAAACATTGGGAAAGTTTCAGGGTAATTATTTACATGAGGTTGAAGGGAAAGATTTTATATACAAAATATTAAATTCTCTAAGTTTGTAGTTTGAATCATAAATTCTAGCTACATGATTTTGTGGAATAGTTCTCAGGTAAGACTAGATGAAAAAGGGATATCAGTTTACAAATGAAAAATAAAAGTACTATTTTTATGGTGATTAATACTGATAAGCATTTTAATTTATCTTGATAGAGATTGTATTTGTTAATTCTACTTCTTTTTAAAATTTTCTTTTGCTTGGTGGTAAGTTAAATATTTTACTAGATAGTCCTTGCTGGTTTGGCTCAGTGGATAGAACATCAATCCATGGACTGAAGGATCCTGGGTTTGGTTCCAGTCAAGGGCACATATCTGGGTTGCAGGCTCCAACTCTGGCCCTGGTCAGGCGTGTGCAGGAGGCAACCAATTGATGTGTCTCTTTGACATCGATGTTTCTCTCTCCATGTCTCTCTCCGTGTCTACTTTTTCTAAAAGTCAATAGAAAAATATTCTTGGATGAGAATTAACCAAAAAAGGTAAAAAAAAAAATTTTTTTTTTTTTTACTAAATATATGTTTTCCTAAACATAATTTTTAAATATTATTAGGAAAGGAAACCTTTATAAAGACTATTTGCTGATAAAATGCTACAGGTACTTTCATTAAACTCAATGTGTCATTTAATTTTGTTTTGGGAATTTTAACCAAAGAAATATATAAAGGCAAGAATGGCAATAAGAATTAGAATTTTTGGAAAGAAAGAAGTATGATTCTTCTTATTATAGATATATTTATAACCTTCAATAGTCAAGAAAAACAACTTTAAAATTATTAATGCCAGTAAGAATATTTAGCTAGTAGGCTAGAAAGAAAATAATATCCTATATAATAAAAGGTTGATATGCAAATTTATCAAATAGCGGAATCACTAGTCGTTATGATGCGCACTGACCACCAAAGGACAGACACTCAATGCAGGAGCTGCTCTCTGCGCGTGTGTGGTCAGTGTGCTACCATGGGGGGAGTGCCGCTCAGCCAGAAGCCAGGCTCTGCGGCAGCGCTAAGGAGGTCAATTGGACGTCCTCCAAGGGCTCCTGGACTGTGGAAGGGTACAGGCTGGCTGAGGGATCCTCCCAGAGTACATGAATTTCATGTATTGGGCCTCTAGTATGATAATAATTATGTTTATACTAGAGGCCGAGTGCATTAATTCATGCATGGGTGTGCATCACAGTGACCAGTCGTTCTGCCATTAGGCCAATTTTCATATTAACCTTTTATTATATAGGATATTATTTTTTTTCTAGCCTCCTAGCTAAATATTCTTACTAGCATTAATAATTTTAAAGTTGATTTTCTTGGCTATTGAAGGTTATAAATATATCTATAATAAGAATCATACCTCCTTCTTTCCAAAAATTGTCCTTTACAGTGGCCGTGGAGATCAGGCCTCAACACTCATCCCCAACCTCATAGCCCCATAGTCCTGTCTGGCACCCCGCCTTGGCCTGGCACCACTCACTCACCTGCTCCACTATCCTGCCTTTGTCCCACTCTCATTAGGACCCATTGGGGCCAGGAGTGTCCCTGATGCCCACCATGTTCCATACCGCCCTCTGGTGGTCAAGCACACATTATAGCGAGTGGTCAAGCTCCCGGTCTCCTGATCAAACGGGCAATTTACATATTAGGATTTTATTATATAGAGTTCTTACATACTAGCAATAATCCTAATATATAAAGAGCCAGGGTCTGTAACATTCAAAACAACCGAATGAACTATTGAATTGCAGGCTGTGCGTGCAGCAGGCTCAGGTGGGCGGGGACTGGTGAGAAGACTGAACTGTTGACCTCTCGGTCCCTCCTGGGTTGCGGGCGCCTTGGAGACCCAGTCCTGACTGCCACCGCTAAGGTGGGTGTGATGTGATTTGTCGGGGGGCCCTGCCATTGCCCCACTGTCATCTGCAGAGGGAGGCCCAGACCACCAGCTGGGGGGCTCTGTGATCGCCCCAAATGAAGGCCCAGGTTACCTGGCAGGTGCCAGTTGTGGGGGCCTCCCTCTGTGGGGCGATCATTCGCTGGGCTCCTGGTCTGTGAGAAGGCACAGGCCGGACTGAATGAACCCTCTTCCCCCAATGCAGGAATTTTGTGCACCGGGCCTCTATTCAGAAAATAAAATACTAAAAAAGGTTTTTTCACCATAGTGAAAACAAATACATTAGAAATTATGAAATGTAACTGATAGTCTTAAAAGAAAATGGGAAGACATGTTATGAACACTTAATATTATAAAGACAAAAATTGTCCCCAGATTATATTATGGCTTAAAGCTGTTCCAGTGAAAGCTCCAATGGAATTATTTTGGGAAGACAGATTCTAAAGTTCATGTGAAAGACTGAAGAGCCAGATGAGAATATTAAACATTTTGATGATTTATGAGTGGAGACTTATATTATCAGTAGTGAATACATACTGTAAAGCTTCAGTAACATATCAGTTGTCATTTTTGGTTGTATGCAACAGAAACTAACTTTGGTTAACTTAAAAAGGGACTTCAGAGGAAGAATATGGGACTCTTATTAACAGAATCAGAATACACACTGTGAGGAATCAGGCTCAGAAAGCATGAGCCCCAGACCTTCTCCAAAGATCTCTAAAGCGGAAAAGATAGAAGAAGTTAGGGTGAACTGGTATCAATAATTTTCATTCAAAAGTAATTTTAGGGGGGGCGTAATGGTAAAATATGTACACAGATAATAATTTAATAAAAAAACCAAAAAAACAAAAACAAAAGTAACTTTATTCAAAAGTTACAAAATCCAGGAACAGAACATTTGATTGAAAGAAGTCATTTGCCCCAAATAAATCCCTCTCAGTTCTACTAAAATTGAAGCCCAAAGATGATTAGTGACATTGAGCATTTTTTCATATGTCTATTGCCATCTGTATCTCCTCTTTGGAGAAGTCTATTTAAGTCCTCACTCTGCTTTTTAATTGGATTGCTTATTGTTTTTTTTTTTTGGGGGGGGGGTGTTGAATTTTTAAGTTCTTTATAAATTTTGGATATTAACTCCTTATCAGATGTTTTATTGGCAAATGTCTTCTCCCATTCAGTAGGTTGTAAGAACAAACCAATGGAACAGAATTGAAAGGCCAATAGTAGATTTGTAAAATATTTATAAAAACCTAGTATATTAAGCCTTGGCCAGGTGGCTCAGTTTGTTGGAGCGTCGTCTCGTACACCAAAAGATTGCAGGTTCAATTCCTGATCAGGGTACATACATAGATTGTAAGTTCTACCTCCTGTTGGTGCGGTATGGGCAGCAACTGATTGATGTTTCTCTCTCACATCAATTCTCTCTCTCTCTCTCTCTCTCTCTCTCTCTCTCTCTCTCTCCTCTCTCTCTCTCTTTCTCTCCCTCTCAATCTCTCTCTAAAAATCAATAAAACATATTCTTGGGTGAGGATAAAAAAATTTAGTTTATTAAGATTTTTAAAATCCATTAGGATACAACAGATTATTCAGTGAATCGTGTTGAAAGAATTGGTTAGCCTTTTGATGCAAAATAAAATTAGATTCCTATCTTACATCGTATTCTAAAATAAATTCCAGTTGGATTAAAAAGTGTGAAATATTAAAAATGATGCTAAACTAGAAGAAGAAAGTTTGGATTAATTTTCTCTGTTCTCTTAGTGCTATATGATTTACTACTAATCATAAAAACAGTGGAACAAAGTAATAAAGAAATAGATTTATAGCTTTGACTATGGAAATTAATATATGTGAGTGAAACCCTCCAATAAAGACAAAGATAAATGAGAAAAATATTTAGAGCAAAG